GTCAGAGAGGGGTCCCTATGGATGCTATTCCCTATGGAAATGCACAAGGTCAACATTTGGCTCTACGGAAAACAGCCCCGTTCTCTGAGACAAAGTCATCTGGAGAAAAATAGCAGCTGATTCAAAAATATATAGTTGCAGTAGCTGAAAAAGGACCTACAGAAAGAAAGCAAATACGTGTAGTGGCTTGATTCTGTCTAAACAAGCTGTGGGTGGCTTTCCAAGATTTCAGATGTGTTTGGAGATGCTAGTCGCTCTGGCTAACTCAACTCAGGGTCTTGTGCATGGAAAATGTGTGCAATGCAACGGCCAACAAAGAGTGCTTAGATCAGGGGTCTTCAAACTTGTCCCTTTTATGACTTGTGGACTTCAACTCCCAGAATTCCTCAGCCAGGCACGCTGGCTGAGGAATTCTGGGAGTTGAAGTCCACAAGTCATAAAAGGGACAAGTTTGAAGACCCCTGGCTTAGATACAGAGGCGAGGTCAAAATTATGCGTTCTATGGAGCACTGCCACTTTCATCTGCCATGAGCTTCCTCTATATGCACCCTGACAAAGTGTGTCGGACAAGTCCTGGGGAGGGGAACTATTGCTAGAGGAGTCAACCCATGTGCCCCCGTCCTTATAAAAAAAAGCCCCAGGCAGCGTGAGCTGATGAGCAGAGCAAGTCACACAGAGCCATGCTATGGAAGGATGAATGGACAAAATGGAAGGCCTGCGTTTGCACTCTTACGATCCCAGGCGACCCTCGGGGGCAAGTGGCTAGAGAAACGTGCAAAGTATACTTCAACAACAGGTGAAAAAAAATGGCAGCAATTTGAAAAACCAGGTGGGAGCTAATGGCAGCCAATTCACTCGTCCCTCTCTTCGAAATTCCTTCTCCTTGGGAGAAAAAAGACCACTCGGAGCCAGCTGAGAGACCCTCGAGCAGAAGACCGCGGGTATCCCCCCCCTCCCCCAGCAAGATCAGGCTGACCAACCGCAGGAGCACGGCGGGCTCTGGAGAACGTTTGGAATTTGGAAAGCCTTTGATTTGGCATTGGTTAGCAAATTGCTGGATTAGCTCCCACAAGATCATCAATAGCCTACCTACAGAAGTAAGGTCTCCTAACCGGGCGGATGGCCTTTTCGGGATGATCTGGAAATGAGCAGTTATACCAGGTGGAAGAACCACATTCTCTCTTTAGGTCATATTCTAGCCATCTTGAAATGACTTTTTGCCATTCACATTGCATAACTGCCGTCCCCCTTAAAAGAAACACGGATGACATAAGCGGTCTCACTGTAAGGGGCCAAATACAGTGACGCATTATTCTTTTAAGGATCCAACATTTCAATAAAATCCTACTCTCCTGTCTAAGGTGATCTAAGGAGCCATGAGATAAAGGTAATGGGAAATATATATATTTGGAAAGTACCCTTCCAAGTCAAACTGAAAGCCTAAATTCCCATTTAGAAAACCAAGGCTTTAAAAATGATGTATCCCCCTGGGACAGTGAGAAGATGACGACTCAACTTGGTTCCTGTCTCAGCTTCCCAGCTTTAATTACTAAAAAAATGGCATTGGCAGAAGAGAATATTTGTAGCCCAGGGTTGAACTGTGGGGTCCTTGGTGCTCTCTGAGCGTGGTTGGGGGTTTTTTTTTTTTTGGGGGGGGAGACGTTTCATGACCCAACTAGGTAACATCATGAGGTGCTCTCTGAGGTTGGTTGTTTTCTTGCAGATTTCTCCTTGCCCAGCTAGGTAATATCATCAGTGCCAAAACAAGCAAGCTCAGAGAGCATCAAGGACCACCAAAAATGGTCTTCTAAGTTCTGCATTATTTTCTTGCAGTGGGAAGGAACGCAAAATTAAGCAAAGGTGATGTCTTAATTGGAACTGCTGGGTGAGGACAAGTAGCTTCTCTGCTGATGTTATCTAGCTTTTATTTCTAATCAACAATGTGCAAGGAAAAATAATGTCATTATTCTACTGATCTAGTGTTCCATTTTTAAAAAAAAAAATCCAACAAAACTAGGCCAAATGAAGACGTTGTCATGTTCCCAACCTCAATGTTCAAGTACCACTCACACCCCATTAGTACCCTTCTCCCCACGAAGTATTCTTTTGTTTTGTTTCTACCACCCCCATATCAGGATTTCAAAATGGGAAATAAGCTTGTAGGGCAGAAAAGGGGATCACATTTTCTGTGGGTGCTAAAGGAGAGTGCTTTATTCTTTTGCAATTGGAAGTAACGTGTAGTTTTCCCCCAAGGTTCCCAATGGGATATTCAATTCTCTCCTCCCCTCTCTTTATTGACAATATCAAGGATTTAATCCAGAGCAACATTTTCCCCAAAAAGCAAGTGCTCTAAACAAAACAAAAGCAAACAAAAATAGTTTAGTCAACTACCATTAGAATTATAAAGATATAAAAAGGCTACTACTCCTTTCTGGGTCTGTTACACAGCCATCTATAAATACCTATGGGCCTTTGCTGTGTCCAGGAGATATGCAGCTGCTGAGTTATACATCATATAGACAGTTGGCGATGGAATGGAGAAGTCCTAGATTTTGCACACAAAGAGCTGGACTTAAATTTATACGCTTCTATTTATTTAAGCCCTACATTCCCAGAGAGAAAAGCTATGTTGGACAGACCTGAAGCCACATTGTGTGTATTTGGACACCTCAGGCATGCAGTTTTGCAAAGGCAACACTCTTCACAGAACGTTGCATTGTATCATTCACAATGCGATGACTATCCAATATTAGGGGACATAGCTAACACCAAGAGGAGTTCCTTAGCATTTCCTGTAACCAGACTGGGGTTTAAAATAATCTCTAGATCAGGGATAGGCAACCTTGGCTCTTTTATGACTCGTGGACTTCAACTCCCAGAATTCCTGAGCCAGCATGGCTCAGCTTGGAAACCTCTCCCTTTCCCCTCAGCATGGCTGGCTCAGGAATTCTGGGAGTTGAAGTCCACGAGTCATAAAAGGGCCAAGTTTGAAGACCCCTGCTTTTAATCTTTGTCCTAGGATAGGGGTAGGCAACCTTGGCTCTTTTATGACTCGTGGACTTCAACTCCCAGAATTCCTGAGCCAGCATGGGGAAAACTTTGGCCCCTTCATGACTCATGGACTTCAACTCCCAGAATTCCTGAGCCAGCATGGCTCAGCTTGGAAACCTCTCCCTTTCCCCTCAGCATGGCTGGCTCAGGAATTCTGGGAGTTGAAGTCCACGAGTCATAAAAGAGCCAAGGTGGCCTACCCCTGGACTAGATGTATTAGACTTAAGACGTATTCTGATTCAGAAACCAAGCAAATGGCCATTCACGAGTAAGGAGTTATTCAGACTGAGCAGCCAATTCACAGAGTTGCATGCAAAATGCTATGAGGGTGATTATTTGCCAGCTCTGAAAAAAAAATTCCTGTAGTATATTCTACTACAGCAGCTTAAAAAGAGAAGAGAGAGATCTACTTCTATTGTGGGCACAGTCCAATGTTTCCGTCTCTGTCTTTCTTAAACAACAAACAAGCAAGCAAACAAACAAACAAAAAATCTAGTACTTATGGTGTCCTAACGCTATCATTCTCAACCTCCTCAAGATGCTAAAATGCTGAGCTCTGGGGCACCTAACCAATATGGTTGTGCTATCTGGGAACTTTGACAGATGTTGTTCCAACCCTGTTGTGTAAGGCAGGCTACGGTGGCCAAATAGTTTTGGAGATTTAGCCCCACACAAATTTCTAGAGCAGGGGTCCCCAACCTTGGCAACTTTCAGCATGGCTGGCTGGGGAATTCTGGGAGTTGAAGTCCACAGGTCTGAAAGTTGCCAAGGTTGGGGACCCCTGCTCTAGAGGATACTGGATGGGATAAAACTTTTTTTTGCCAATTCCATCAAATCTTGAAAGGCCCTGGTTGAGGACATTTGGTATTGAGACTTAGACAACTAGCTGTTCATGCCACTTGGAATGATTTGTGAAGGCTACACTTCTCTGGTCTTCTACAATTCTAACTACTCTTGCTCAGCTGACCTTTGTGGAGCCTGTCCTCACTTGTACAAACTTATAAAATGAAGGCAGATCGCTACAGTTCTGAAACCAGTTTGACGAGGAAACGTCAAACGTCCACATACTTGGCAAAACCTCCCTAGCTCTGCTCTAGAGCTTATGTGATGGAGATCAAGGTAGAATGCTGGAATTTGAGTGGCACTCTGGGATGGTCACATGCCCGCTATTGTTGAAATTACTAAGATGCCTGTTGCAAACTATTTGTTGGCGAGGATAGTTTTTGAGAATTCCTTTTGCTCTGCAAATTTTTCCAATTTGTAAAGCATCAAGTAGGGTTTTTAATAACTAAGTGCGCACGTGGGAGCTGCTATGCTATGCTCCCAACAGAGTTGAAAATGGGAGGGATAAAGTAGTTTGCGACGTGGTTCTTTTCGGTTTCATTCAACCTAAGTTTATTTTAAAACTTTACTTGCAGGGAAATGTTAAGTCTGTGTTCAGGCTTGCACCATTTCTCATGGGGGGTGGGAAATATCCCACTTGGCATAAAATAGCATATATGTGAGTAAGCTGGGCTAGAATCTTTATGTTCCTTTTTTTAAAAAAAACACCCTAAACTTTTGTTTTTAATACATATAAATGTTCCATTTCATGTCCCCTCCTCCTGGCAGTCTAATACGAATCTGAATTCACTACTGAAAATTCATTTTTTTCACTGGGGCAATCTGAAGTAACGAATAAGGAAAATCAAAATGTGATCACACGTTCATCGGATGCAGAAGAGGCAAATTCTGGGTTGGACGTTGGACATTAAATGGTCTGGTTCTTCTGGAGATCATTTTCACTGGATTCACCTGAGTCACCTCTGTGCTTTTTCGCAATCTTACAGTACAAAAAGGCCCCTAGTTGCAAACAAGGTTTCAGACCAATTTCTAGACTGTAGAAATCAGTAACCAGAATGAAGAAATGTCACTCCCATGAATTATGCAAACGTTAAGAGGTTCCTTACCTCCCAATCCAAATAATCACAAACATCTTCAAAATTAGTAAGCAGAGACACTGAGCAGAAAAGCCGTGGCAGTTCATCCCTCGTCATCGGGGGAAATCTGCTATCTTTAAGGGCACTGTGGAGAAAGAACACAACACACACAATAATGAGAGAAAACAGATACTGAAGTCTCTTACGGTCAGCAAAGGAAGCAAAACGGCGTTCTGAATTGATGGCAGATTATTTCTGATCAACACCGGTCTTCTTCCAAGAACTGTTATTACGCCTGCACCCTAGTTTTCTGCCAAAGGGTTTTGAGCTGCATCTATGGTCTTCCCTACTTACTAGTCATCCCACTTAATTCTCAACAAGAACTTTGTGATGCGCAAAGGCTGACACGCAAGGGTTGATTTCAGGACACTCTCGCGCCGTGGCTGAATGAGTCTAAATTCGGGTGTTACTGACCTACTCTGAAACTCTACGGATGCAAACATCAGAGATTCTGCTGTTTAGACTGCTCACCACCAACCTTACCTTGAGAAAAGGGGAAAATCCATGTTCACAAGCCAGTCAACCAATGAACAGACCAGCTACAGAAAAGGACATGCTGCTGGGCAAATCAATACCATAGGTAGGAAGTAGGAAAAAAATTAAAAATGGGGTTATGCAGGAGCTTTCATTGTTGACCGAAACACAAGTCTAGGATGTTTGTAAACTTCATGATGTAATCCAGTGGTTCTCAACCCCTGGAAAAACATTTGAAAAAATGTTATGATTTAAATCTTGAGTTAAGTCTTGGGGGTCCGTGGCCACAAAAGATTTAAAGGGGGTCTGTGGTGAAGAAAAGGTTGAGAACTGCGGATATAATCAATAGAAGTATCTCAAGGATAGGTTAGTCATGCACAATGTAATCATTTAATGTAAAGAATGAAACATTGTGCTCGTTTCCAGATGTAAACATACTTATATTTTAAAGTTCAGCAAGCTACAATTTTTTAAAAAACAAACAAACATATATACAAAATTGCATCAGGCAGCTAAAATTTTACACATCGTGTAACTCAAACCCTTATAAGACAAGGCCTAAAAATGGTCAGCCAGTGAGGAGATGATGAACTTGAGATCATCCTATCCCTATTGGAAAAACTAACTTGGTAATATACTAAAAATTGAACCACAGAGTTTTGATTACATAAAAGGTAGAAACAACTGTTAAGGCAAGCAGTACATAGGGAAAACATTTAAGAAACAGAGAAACGTAACATTGTGAGAGTGAAGGAGACTTAAACAAAGACTAAGAAAATCTGCACATTCAGTTTATTCCTAGATAGAGTTTTTCTTTTGAAAAATGACACTGAATACTGAATACTTGATGACTGTTTAATTCTTGCTGAATATTCACAGAACATTGGATATCTAGACATGGATTTATTCCGTGATGGAAGTCCAGGAGATGCTATACCAGGAACGTCAAATAACTTCTCGTTTGCTGGTCAATCGTGCAAGGATGGCTTAATGTCTATTGAAAGACAAAGGTCACTCTTTTGAAGACAGCAAAGTCCACATTCTGGACAGAGAGGACCGCTGGTTTGAAAGAGAGGTCAAAGAGGCCATCTATGTCAAAATTAGATAGCTCTCTCTCAACAAAGGGAGGGGGGATATGACACCACCTATATCCTGTTTACAACACAGTCCTTTCAGCAGTTCCAAGAAGGTTCCACACCCATTTGCGCTATTTAGGTGACCCTGAGGGGACAGATAAACCTCCAAGTGGCCTCAATGACTCTCAGGAAGAGCGCTAACAACCAGATGACTGCAAGGAATATAAATCCTTCCATCTTCCACCATTCAGTCAGAACTGAAGAAGCTCCTTGGATGAGAAGCAAAACATTTTCAAGAAAAAAACAAAGTCCAGTTCCCTTTCGAAAAAGCACCTTTGGGACAAGGATGGCTTAACCTCAGCAAGGCTGCAACACCTTTCAAGTATACCTACTTGACGGTCTGACCAGCAGCATGCAGTGTATTTTGCATTGGACAGTTTGCCTAAAGCAAAATGCTTGACAGATGCCAATAAATAAGAACCAAATCTTTAAGACTTTTTTTAAAAAAAAAATCACAATCAAAATTTGACTTCTAATATGCATCAGGGTGAACTCTGAATATCTGCTTCAGCTCATTCCTTCCTCAAACTTAAGAAAGCGTGAGATGGATCAATGTTTTCTGCACAGCAATTCTCCATCGCCGCTGGAAGCAAACAAAGGGAATAATCTAACTGAACCAATTGCTTGTTTTAAAATACAGGAGGCAAAATGCATAATGTGAGGGAACTGTCTTATGACTGAAGATCCAAAGATTTGGAAATCAGATTAATCAGATTCAAAACGACTAGAGGGGCTTGTTTTCCAGTCATTTTTTAAATCTTGGATTTCTAGAGAACCCCATGCATATTACGATTACCCGTTTTTGTTCATTCTGATTTTTCTTTCTCCTTTCAATCAGCCACATGTACAGTGCAATATATATCAGAGTCAATTTGTGGTGGGTTTTTTTAAAATGTGAATAACGTTTTCACTCTTACTCAATTTTTCAAAGGTCTACCAAAATTATCCCCAGGAAAGAATATTTCCAAAATGTCTTTAGGAACCAAGTCCTGTTTCTTAGTGCTTTACGAGCATTATTTCCTTTTTTCTTGCTCTCCTTTTACATATGACTGTACAAGGTAATCTTTTTCAGGATGTGATGTGACCACATGAACCATTGACATTCCTTCTAGCTACCGGTTACACACTGGCTTGCTAGTTTGCATGACACTGCCAAAACAAAAGGACACTGTGCCCTATTTCTACAAGAACAGCAATTACAGCAACGTTTTTAAGAGCTGCGATGCAAATATCCTTCCTTAAAATAAATGATTATTTGCCTGCTGGGAATCCCCCGTGATTCAGTGCATAAAAGCACTCATGGTTTATGGAATGGCAGGAAAAGGCCACGGGTACAAAATAGAAATGGAAAACTGGGGACACTTTGCAGGCATTATTCTTGAAATTAAAAATTAAAAATGGTGGCCACTGCTGTGTTGCCGTGGTCGGCCTGCTGTCACGTGACTCTCATTTCCAAGGCTCCCTGCAGCTTCCTATAAAGAAAGTCAATGGGGAAGCCTGCAGGAAGTCAGAATTTGCTCCTGCACCCACTGTTACTTTGCATGCCTGTGGTCATTCTATTTCTCTCTTTAGATCCGGAACTATCTCTGAACGATGATTCAACTGGCAATGGGTTGTCTATACTGGTAGTCCTTGACTTACAACCATTTGTTTAGTGACTGTTCGAAGTTACAATGGCACCGGAAAAAGTGACTCATGACCATTTTTCACACTTTGACCACTGCAGCATCCCCAGGGTCACATGATCAAAATTCAGACGCTTGGCAACTGACTCATATTTATGATGGCTGCAGTGTCCCAGGGTCACTTGAACCCCTTTTGGGACCTTCTGACAAGCAGAGTCAACGGGGAAGCCTCAACAACCGTGTTACTAACTGAACAGCCGCAGTGGTCCACTTAACAACTGGGGCAAGCAAGGTGGCAAAATGGTGCAAAACTCACTCAACAACTGTCTTGCTTAGCAACAGAAATGTTGGGCTCAATTGTGGTCATAAGTCAAGGACTACCTGTAATGGGAAAACATTTGATGGGTGAGTAGAACAAAAATCTTGGAATATTGTTTTGAAAACAGCAAGTAGAGCGGTACAGGCCTTTATGAGCCTTTTTTATTATCCTTTTGGTGGCTGCCAAAGACCACAGATCTCCTTCTGTTCTAGCCTACTACAGATTTATGCTGGGTAGAGAAGAAATCCCACTTTTCTCTCCAGCCCAAGCCGCTTGCATTTGCTTGTTGACTCACATCCAAGAATTAAACTCTCAGCTTCCTAGATCGGTCAAGGTCAGCTAGATGCTGCTACCTGATGAGTCGCAATAGATACCTATTGATTATGCATAATCTTTTATCAAAGATCGGGAAAGAAATTGCTATAGGGAAAAACCCAAGGGATCTGTGACAACAGGAAAATGCTCAGCTGAGTTAAAGAGTCGACAGCACTACCAAACTTACTGCAAAGCATTTTATCAGCAACTCCTTAGGAGCTACCCCACGCTTCCAAGAACAACCGAACTCACACCCCTGCAAAGTGTGAGTGTGTGGCATTTGGAAGGAAGCAATCCTTACAAAAATTCCTCCGCCCTATTTTTCTATCACGCTAGTTTTTCCCTGAGGTGTTTCTTTGAAAAGCAAAACCATCTTAAATCTTGACAACTTCCTAGCTCCTCATCTTCAATTTTCCATCCAGCCTGTTTTTGAAGTTTATAATAGTTAAGACAGTTCCTAAAATACCTTTATCTATCTGAGATGGGAGTACAAAAAAAAGCTACAGCTTGCAATAAAGGAAAAAGAAATAAATCAAGATAATGAGCGCCTTAACATAATTTAAGATTTGATAATAGGGACTTAATGTTATTAAATAAGTCAGAGGGCTCATTTTCAGTAATAAAGTTTCCAGAAATAGGCATGCTGATTTTGCACAGGACAAAATTAGATTTTCAGTGAGGCTGGTTAGGTTGCCACAAACCTTTTTAAAGTTTTGCAAGACAACAATCCTTCTTAGAGGCTACAAATACCCAGGTAGGCAACTGGATGGTGTGAACCCATCCCAACTTTTCATTTAAAAAAGAGAAAACTCCCCTCAAAGTATGTGGGTCTTTTGTTTTAAAGACAGCTAAACTGAGCAGCCCAATTTGAAAACACAACTGGCTAAATAATAAAAGAGCTGGAAACTGAAGGTAAAATGGAAACCAAACGAATCTTCCAAATCTTTATTTCCCTCATTCTAATTTTCTGGTGATAGTTATTTTAAGTCTTATGCAAAACAGCACCCTTTCAAGAGCTGAATAAATAACAGAATGACCTCAGTCATGAAAATAATATGCAAAATGATTTGCCAAATCAGCAAGCACACATCCAGGTACTACTGTTCTTAGCTGAAAATAGGCGGGGCCAAAAAGATTGCGGACCAAGCCTGTTCTTCATTGTCATTGTGGAATCTTTCCCCACAAAATAAATAAATAAAAATCAATCAACAAAGCCCCACGCTCTCTTCAAGCAAAAGGAAGCTGCTTAAGAAACAAGACTTAGGGTTTTGGTTTTGTTTTTTAAAAAAAGAGAGAAAGCATTTGCCCAAAAATCAAGAATACAGGGGCATAATCTCAAACTGACCAGAGGGAAATTAAGGAAATTAAGGGTTGCCCCCCCCCCCCCGCAAGGAAATACAGTATGGCTGATTCCCTCTGCTTTTCTGCCAGGATTTGCAAAACAATAAAATCTTATCTCTTCCCAGAAGCTTTTAATGATTTAGTGATTTCAATAATCCTGGTCTTAGTGTCCCCTTTAATTTAATTGCACTGTTTTTATTTTGGTTTTCTAACCAATACATTTTTATTGCTATAAGCTACAAATGTCCTAAGGTTATTATATGGTCACAGCGAGATACACATTTAATAAAAATAAA